CATAACTAAGGGATGGTTCCGGACTCACGCTGATGCACGCCGTAACTATAAGCTTTTATCAAAGAGTACACCTCTTAAGCCCTACTCTCTAAATGTGGGAGGGTGGTCTGACTCCGCTGAAGCCCAGACTGGGAAGCTGGTTGGTTCCACAGGAGAGGAGCTTGGTAACTGAAGGCTCTGGCTCCTGTTCTACTTTTAGAGACTATAGGAACCACAAGTAGCCCTGCATTCAGAGAACGCAGTGTTGATGAATGTGAAAACATCCTTCTATCAAAACTCTTTACATACTTAATTCAAACATCACATTGTAGGAACAAAAAGAAACTGACTGGAAGGGAGCTTTAAATGAAAGTTTTCTAGATTGTCGCTTTGAAAAGGTGGTGGTCACATCAGCATCTAAACACTCTTACATGATTCATAACTTAGCCATTATTACATTTAAGTTGCTGCTGTCAGTTGGTCCACTTAAGCAGGAAAAAAGATGGTAATCTTATTAATATATGCATGTGGCACAGAGTGTCACGTCCTGATCAGCTCTTCACGGTAAACAGAAAACTTGTTTGTAATGCTGACACCAAAAAATAAACTGATCTGGTTTAAATAGCTCATGACCTCAAAGATGCAAGCAGCGTTGTCTTTCAGATGACACAATGGATGACTAATAGATGGTGTTAAAAACACTTTCTTGTCGTTCACTCCTTGCGTGGTTTACCACTCTATCATTATCTATTACTGATAAGGAAGGGACCTCTCAAGGACAGAACAACAGATCTGCTACAGTAGTCTATTCTGTTAGCACAGCTTGCATTTATGGTAGTGTATGTACTGACAGGACATCCGCAGAAATGCAGCTGTGACTCATTTTGATTTGCTGGGGTTACAGTATATTTTGTCACTTAACAGGAAATTATTCAGTAATAAATCAAGTGTCACTCGGTCACAAGGTTATTACCCACCATAAAATGTTACCATTTTACATATTATAATTAAAAAAAACTAATACTGAAACTAATAAAAACTGAACTACAACTAAAAAATCTTAAACAATAAAAACTGAAACAAGCAAACCCACTCTGGAAACTAAAGTGAACTGACCCTTCCTAAGGCCCACCTTTTGGAACTCCAGCTCCCTCCTTTCTCGTACTTAGATATGCTATGTGCTAGGCTCATCTATGTTAAAAAGACAACCACATTGTAAAGATGGTTAAAAGATATCTATCTACAAGTTTCCTACGGCCCATAAGGCCTTGCATGAATTATGGGTGCAACTTTTGGTGCCTAATTGGAACCAGTGTTTTGTGTGGTAAACCCATAGGGTAAATCTATCCTCCTTTTTTAGAGCAACTGAAAAATAAAATATGTGTGATAAGAGAGGATGAGCTGAAGAATAACACTTATATATATAGCATTAGTATTAGCAATAGCTTCTTTATTGATTCCATTGCAGCAGTGGAGCGACAAACATTCTGAAAAGTTCTGAGGCATATCAGTATCACATCTTAAGTTAGCTTATGTTAGTAAAGCGCTAGTTAACTATCCAGCTAATCTTCATCAATCGTTAGCTAGCCAAATATTAATATAGATTAGCTAACTAGCAAACTAGTTAACTAACCAGATAACTAGCCTGCTAATAATTGATGTAGTTAGATTAGCTAGCTTGTTAGCTAGCGTTTTTATTATAGTGCTACTTTTATCTTTGAACCATCTTTAAAATGTCTTTTCAACATAGATTAGCCTAGCACATAGCATATAGGAAAGAACAGAGGTTCTGACAGAGGTTGCTCAACTGTTATTGGAGCAAAGAGAAAATAGGGGCGGGATTTAGGCAGAGATTAAAAACAAAAATTAAAAACAAAATAAAGACTGATCAAAAATACAAAACTAGAATAACTCTGGTCTGTTGTTATGTCATCATTACTCCCTGCCAACAGTAATTAGTTACACTACAAGTTTCATTACTTTTCTGCTAGGCCTACTCCCCACAAAATTCGTAATTGTGTCGCTTCTCCCCAAATGTAAGACTTACAACAATTTAATCCAGTTTTGTTTCAAAGTAACTGGATATTTTCAGCTACTGAATGTCAGCGTTTCCATCTTCCAAACTAGTTTCAACCACGATTACAAAATGAATCCAAGGATATGATTGGATTGTTGTATTTCAAATTAGCAGGAGGTGCAGTAGGTAGTATGTATTACTAGTATTGCCTTACTGTCCAACACTGTGTAACAGTGAACAGCTTCAGATAAAACTTGTCTTCATGGGATGGGTCATGTGGGGTTGTGGCTTATCCCTTACGTCGGCCTGTGTCACTGACCTGCAGTGACACAGACCAATGCAAGGGCCCAGTGTAAAATGCTGTCTCATGTTACTATAAACTGCTCTGCAGTGATTTGGTGTCTGATAAAATTTACAGTAATACACAAACTTACCTTTTCTGATGGTATTTCATCTTCTCACTGGTACCAACAGAGACTATCGCATGGGCAGCCTTTAAGTCTTGACATTATTCACGATACTGTACCCATAATATCATGCACAATATCCTAATCATTTGCCAGTTACTGTAGGGGACACAAAGTTCATGGGTGCAAATCTGTCCGGTAGGTTATGGGGTGTCAAGCACAGCTGGTGTTTGGGGGAGGAGGAGCAAAGGGGGGTAACGAGTACTAAGTGATGGATGTCTGACTACTAAGCTGGACGCTACAAAGGAGCCACTAAAGCTGCTGAGGACACTAATGAGCCAGTGACTAAAACCTGGCCTGGATTCACTGGACTGCACAAGTCAACACAGAGAGGCTGATTGGTTCACACCCGGACTCCACTGGATTTAGGCTTTTTAAAGGCATATCTCCATTAAGGGAGCATGTGTTTGAATATTATATAAAAACAATTTGTGTGTATATATTTAAGTAAAGGAGCAGTTTAAAGGTAACATAGCATGACCATTTACAGAGAATCCAGGTTTTCATAAACTAACATGCTTTAAAGTAAGATACCATTATTTGAAATTGTTGTAGCCTAAAAAGAACACACACTTTACACATATTACTACTGACTCATTTTCAGAGCATTTAAAGCTATAATGTAACATTTCCACATTAAAATGTCTATAAACAGTAGAACTATGGTTTATATGTTGTTGAGTTTTGTAATTGCATTATCCCAAATGTTTACAACAATGTTCCAACCCAGAGAGAGGGCCACCATAGTTTCTCCTACACACTTGGAAGGCTAAGCTGTATTCAGATGGTTCTACAACTTCACTGTTTGATTCTACTAAATTCTACACACTGGCCAATTAAACTTAAATTATTTATATAACCAATTTAACCCATGACCCTGCAGTCTAATCAAACAACTTAAAGGACTATCTTTAATATTCATAGACATGTTTTGTATATAATCACCTCAAAATAAGTATTGTTGTGTTTTTGTTACCTTAGAATGAGCTGTTTTTATCAACAGAGGCGGAATCTGTCATGTTTCTACAGTAGCCCAGAATAGACAAACCAAACACTGGCATTTTTCGCTTGTTTTGTGGCCAATATTGTTAATCCTACACACTTTACAGCTTGTTCTCATTCCCAGGTCTTCAAATACAGACACAGTGTTCAGTTAGTTGCAACTTCACCAATAGATGCCACTAAATCCTACACACTGGTCCTTCAAGTGGTATAAAACTGGAAAGCTGTAATTACAATGTAACATCTTGTAAAATCGTTCACCTCTTACTACTTTACTTTACTTTACTAACAGTTGAACATGTATGTCTTTTGATTGTGTTTCTTTCTTTTGTACTTTCTTGTCTTCATACCGTCCCTTACAGGAGTTCAGAGTGGGAGCATCAGTATCAGCAGGTGTTAATCCAGCTCATGTTTTCCTGTCGTCTCTCCGCTCTCATGGCTGATTACACTCTGTGAGTCCAGAGCAAGGAGGGCTGTCTGTTTGAGTCTAGTGCTGCTCTCATTAGTAGCAAAGCATGGGCAGTGTGTGTATGCCAGTCTCTAAACACAGGGCAACAGCAACATAGTGAGCATGCCAGTACTTTAGTACTTCTTACTTTCTTTTACACACCTTGTGGTCTTGTGCGGATCCAGGTCAGTGGTTTCACCATGGAGTTGGGAAAAATTCACCTGAATCTAAAGACAGTGCTGCTGACGATGATGATGTTCAAATGGGGTGAGTGGAAAGGACGGTTCTGTTATGTCTTCCTGTGAAGACTTCCTTTTGGAAGGCCATTTCTGGGTGTAATTGTAATTTGACGTGAAGTACTGAAAGGAATGTCAGGGTGTTAATGACTACGTTCTTGTTTAAAGTTAATCCTTATTCTGTGAATGCAACAGGTTGCTTGGAAAGAGTTATTATACGGGCGTAAATACCCATGGGAGCTACACTCTAAAAACAAATGTTTTGGCTTAACAATAAAAATTAACACAGCATCAATCTTTTTTAGTCGTGGCAACTTCTAATTACGTTTTACAAATGTGCTACATTGAGAGGGGAATTAGCTTTTCCTCTACAATCAAGGTATTAAAATAAATATTAATTAATATAATATAAAATAATATTTAAATTACCACTTACTTAATAATTGGTAGCATAAACAAGTTTTTTTTTTAATTAGGCTACTTGTAAAAATGTTACTGTTCTTACTAGTTTTTTCATGTTCTTTATGTCAACACAACTCATACAATGTTAAAAATGAAAAAAGGTTCATCTAAATCAATCGATTAGAAATGTTAAGTTGCAACCACACATTTATTTAAGTGGTGACAATAGGTCCAATAAATTACTTTTTAGAGTGTATTTTACCTCACATATATTTACTGTAGTGCTTATTTACTAAGGAATAACATATTAGTGCCAGCATTTAATAATTTATTAGGTAGTCCAATAAAATAAAAGTCCAAGAGTTGGGGTTGGATAAGGATAAATCCATTTTCACTATACTGAGAAGCATTTGGATATTTAGTATTAATTGCTAATGCTGTTGGATACTTTGTAGACAAATATCTTGACTGAATTCTTAAACATTAGTAGCTGGTGTACGATTGTATTGCTAATAGTCAAATTTGTTTTTTTACTTGCCTTTTCTATTAGATTTGACACACAACTGGTTCAGAATCAGGGGCAGTGCTCCCCAGTCATGCATACTCAAACAGAGCAAACAGGGAGGAGATCAGCAGAGAAGCACTCATTCATATGTGTCTGTGCATGAATGGAGGTGCAGAATGAGGTCATACAATGTGCAGAAAGTTTAGTGTTGCATCAAGTTTGAAGAACATACTCATATAACTGTCAAGTCTCTGAATTGTATCAAAGCATGGACATTTAATGTCACATATAAAAGCTTCAAAGCACACCTTGGTTAAGATGACAATTCTCCCAATGTTGGATTATTGCGACTTAATCTACAGATTTGCCTCCAAATCTCATCACCTACCATACTGCCATTCGCTCTTTCAAGACTCATCACTGCAACCTGTATTCTCTAGTCAACAGGCCATCACTCCATATCAGTTTAAGTTCATTTATAAAACTATCATTAGCAAAACCCCTCCATATCTCTGCTAACTACTCAATATCTCCAACAGTAACCGCTATTTATGCTCTAGCAAACTCATTAGTGTAGTCACCCCTAAAGTTGGCATCTCCTTTGGCCGTTACTCATTCCAGTTTGTTGCTCCCTGTGACTGGAACGAGTTGCAAAAGATGCTACAGATCACATCGCGTTACCCTTCTTTAATAACTCATTACACGTGATCACTGCACCTGCTTTTGAATCACCTTTTCTGGGAAACAGTACATAGACTTCTGTTGTTGTATACGTATTGTGATGTTTTAATTATGTCTAATACTGGTTTCTATCTATGTTTTGATGTCTTCTCGTATCGACTTGCCTCCTAATGCTCAGGGGTGGCAAAAATGCTAAAAACTGCCTGGATACCCTTAGTGTAAAAAGCTGTCAAATTCAACACATTGATTTAGATGAATTTTCAAAATAATGTGTTAAAAAGCGGGAAATTAATTCAATGATCTGTTATTGCCACATTTTAGACTTCAATGGAAAAAGCATGTATTTGGAAAAATATAATAAATAATAGTATATATTATGTGCCACAGTAATGTTTTTGAGTTCAAATCTCTTCATTTGGGGGCTTTTCCAAGCAAATATTGATGTCTGTGATTAAATCAGCAGATATTTCTGCTACCCCTTAAAGTCTCTATGCCACCCTCTGGACACCACATCAATATTTCTCTAGATCCGCCCCCAGCTGACATTGCCTCTTGGCCAGGTTGTTGCTATATGTAAGAACTGGTTCTCAAAGGACTTGGATCAATGGATCCGGTTGAATAAAAGTAAAGAAAAACATTATAGTCAACATTACATCAGTCAGCAACAGTTTGTATTTATTGTATTTTACCAGTTAGTGTGCATGTATTTGTACAAAATACATTTCGTGCGTGGCTTGTTTTGCTTTTTTTGTGGGTTCCAAAAACCAGGAGCCCACTATACTTAATGGTTCCAACAGCTTTGTGGGGACCAAAATGTGGGAACCTAGAAGTTTAAATGGCTATTTGAGGCAACTGTACAGGGGGTGAATTTTTATTTAACTCACCTGTTTAAATTTTATTAAGTTATTAAGGGCTTGGCTGCTTGACAGGTGGGTGCCGTCACAGAGACTACATCAATTTTTATTTATACAGTCTATGGTCTACACTTTACTTTATGTCCCCCTATTTGGCATTTTTACGCTGTATTCAAGCATTTAATAAATGGTTTATAACATACTATATTTGGTTGTACACAAGGACATTTTTATTTATCAATGTACAGTACTTGTCTTCTACTATATATTTATTTCCTTATTATTTAAATTCTATATTATTACAGCTGTGTTTGACTTTATTATCATTCACATTGTTTGACTATGCACCCAGTAGCTTCATACCTTCCATACATGAGTGATTCAAGTTGTGAATATTTGAGGGGCTGGTCAGGTCTGGGGGGTGTAGAAGTACTGCAGGCATGTGACTGGGAAAAAATGTGGAGTGGAACTTTAATGAGTCTGTAGTCTGAGGAAAACAATAGCAGAGTGCTCTCTTACTAATATGCCAAATAAGTTGCCAGGTTAGCAAGATTCATACAGCAAACGCGGCACAGAAAGTACAACATGTCTGTACTGATTTCTGACAGAGAAAAAGAGAACAGCAGGTGATGCTCATCATCCAAAGCAAACTTAAAAAAGTATGTATATAGGAGTAGAAGAAACAAGTAAGAAACATGCAGACAGGGAGGGGGGTGTCCATGACATCTGATTCGCCACCCGAAGGGCCACCCAGGAGTCCCCTTTACAGACATGCCCACTCTCTGCTAATTCCATGAATTCATTTTTTGTATAAAATCAGCTACTATGAGCTCTAGGATAATCACAGCCTCATGAAACTACAACCACAAACTATAGACAGAGGACATTCATAGGATGCGTGGCTTTCCTAGATATATTTGAGAACTTCAAGAATCAACTATGGAAGCATTATAATATATTTTAATTCTGTTGTATTATGATACTGTAATATTAGTAATTAAAGTAGATATGAGGAATGGGAGATTATTGCTATTTGGACTCTGTGTAAGTGGACAAAATTAATTTGTCACGTCCATGTAGACGGGAGAACGGGAACTAAACTTTCTGTTAGACAGATAAGAATAAACAGTCATGTGTCCATAATGACCCAGGACTAAATGCAGTATTTATGGAATCCAGTGAATGTTTAACAAAAGCAAACTGTAGCGAGCTCTGCATTCAGTCTGTTTGGATTCATTTCATTTAATTTTCAGAAAATAAAAAGAGACTAGCTGCTAATCTGTTTGAGGGGGAGGTCAGAGACAAAAGACAGATTATTACAGATTAAGGGATGATATCATTGAGAGTGTCTGACAGACAGGATGCTCTTTGTGTGTGTGTGTGTGGGTGTGAGTGTGTGTGTGTACAGCAAAAGAGAAACTTGACTGTGGGTGTGATGGTTTAGCTGAGCTGTGAATTTTTGGGGGATTATTGGACGGTTGATGGTAGAGAGACAGACAGAGAACAAGAGGAGAGACAGACAGGTATTTGGGATGTATCTTAAACTCTCAGCAACCAGGGTGTGGCTGTATTAAGTGGAGTTGGATCAGGTGAACGGGACGTCTGTCCCCCTGGCTGTCATTGTCTGATCTGTCTCCTCTGCGTCAATGTCTTATAGGCACAGGTGTCAGTATCAACCTTGTGTGTGTATTCTAGGGATTACCATGAATGACAGTCAGGTCACAGGGTCTGTGCTGGGTGTCCGTCTGGGTTCTATATGCATTCTAATATCTCCAGCTATTTTCCCCTATGTTTTAGTCATGTAAAGGCTCCAGTTTTCCACATTTCTTTCAAATTCTCAGATAGAGTAGATTTAATGAATAATAGCAAGCAGATCAACTGCTTATTGTTATTATTATTATTATATTATATTATATTATTATTGTTTAGTTTAGTCCGATGTGTTTTTAGTGTTTTACTAT